GAAGGTTGGGCAATCTACTTTCATAGTGATACTGCCTCAGAAACCCAAGGAGGGGTCGCTATGAGTCATGGCCAACTCAATGGCACATAGCAACAATATGTCTCAAAGTCTGATAGGCAGTGCCCCGCCTCCAACACACAAACACTTATTCTTCTAGGCAGTGCAAATAGTTAAGCACTCAACTACTAGCTGAAAGGTTGGAGGTTCGAACCCACCCAAAGAAGGTTTGGAAGATAAGCTTGGTGATCAGCTTCTGAAAGGTCACAGCCTTGAAAGTGCTGTAGAGCAGTTCTACTCTGTACATGTGGGGTTGCCGTGAATTGGAATTAACTTGACAGCAACAACAACATGCTGGCTCAGGCTGAAGGCGGGCCAAAGTTCAGGGACTTGGGTACAAGGGAGAAACTTAACCAAAGTTTGGTTAACAAGCACTTTGTTTCTGATTGATGAGTGGGGAACAATAAATTCCATGACTCATTTATGAGGCAATGAATGGGAATTTGGAAAGTCTGTGTCTGTCCTTGTGGCACAGTTGTTAAGCATTCAGCTGTTAACCAAAAGGTCAGTGTTTGAACCTACCAGCCACGGTGGGAGAAAGATGTGTCAGTCTACTTCCATAAAGATTATAGCCTTGGAAACTTTATGCAGCAGTTTTACTCTGGTGGGTAAGGCATATGGGTAAATAGAAGGTTGGCAGTTCGAACCCACCAGCTGCTCCATGGGAGGAAGATGAGGCAATCTACTTCAGTAAAGATTTATAGCCTTGGAAACCCAGTGGTGATGGATCTGAGTTGGAATCGACTTGGATTTGGTTTGTTGGGTTAACAAGGTCACTGTGAGTCAGAATTGACTGGATGGCAATGGGTTTGGTTTTTTTGTTTGGTGTCTGTCCTTGTCACAAATAAACAAAAGGGCCACTGTGAATCTTATCTAAGACACATAAGAATGGTGGTTCTTTTCAGCAAGGCATTGTCTTGAACACAAAGATGGGGAGATTTCTCTAACTATTGCTGTTTTCCAGTATCACAAGTTCAGGTAAAATTCATCTTTCGTTGAAGTCGTTGCTGTTATTCCTATTTATGAATAAATGAGCTTAGAGAAGGTAACTTGTTTAAGACATTAGCCAAGAGGAAAGACTTAGGGTATGAATCCAGGCAGTCTGACTACAGAACTCATGTTTTAACTGTTGTGTTATACCCCCTTTAAAGCAGTTGTAACATTGCATTGAAATAGTTTGCTAATTCTTATATCCTGGGGAAAACTTTTTGAATAGGCTGTGGTGAAATCACAAGCATGGATAAAAAACCGTTTGTCATAGAGTCAACTCTATGTGACCCACATAGACTCTATGTGTCACTCATACAGTGACCCTATGTGTGTCAGACTAGAACTGTGCTCCACAGTTTCAATGGCTGATCTTCCACCAGGACTTTCTTCCGGGGCACCTTTGTGGGCACTTCGACCTCCAACCTTTGGGTCAGCAGCCGAGCTTGTTAACGGTTTGCACCACCCAGGTACTCCATGAGCACGTGTAAGATTCTCCAAAGGAAAGCTGCAGAATGGGAAGACAGTGAGGACCAGGGAGAGAAGGGAGAAATGAAGGAAGGAATGGAGGTGGTGGTGTCCTTCCGTCTTCGGGTCGCCAGCGCCCCAAACAGGGCTCAGCACAGAATAGGTGTTCAGTACACGTTTGCGGGCTGGCAAGCCAATAAATGAAGGTACCACTCTCTCAGTGTGGACTCTGTTAAGTCCCTTCTTCTCTAGATCGGTTTTCCTCTGCTTGGCCATAGAGTCCTGGGTCAGGTGGGCGGCGACGGCGGTGCTCAGCAGCGCCCCTCCCGGCTGCGGAAGCACTGACAGGCGGAGTGTCAGCAGCAGGGGGCGAAAGCCGCCCAGACTGCGGCGGACGTCAGCGATCACCAGACAGCGCCCTAAGTGCGCTCGCTGGGAAGGGCGCAGGTGGGAGGGTCCTGTGCCCTGAGTATTGAGGACGCGGCGGGGAAGGGAAGGGGAGAGTCATCCGAGAGACCCAGGGGCCGGTGGAGACTCATCTGGAACCCTCAAAACAAACAAATCAAACCAATGATACTGTCCGTGCCCACTCATGGTCGACAGTAGAACTGAGTTCCGTAAGGTCTTCATAGCTGTGACCTGTGAGAAACAAATCTCTCTTCCTTCCCGGGAGCTTCTGAGTGGGTTCCAATCGCCAACCTTTGTTTAGTAGCAACAAGGCTTCGTCGTTGGCGGCACCCAGAGAGAGACTCATTCAGAGCAAAGAAAGGAGCAGGTGCGGGTGACGTAACGACGTCGTGTGCCAAACTTAAAGGAATGAGTGACCCATCACAACCCTCTAGGCAGCCCTGCGGCGCGCCGCGGCCCAAGGCAGAGTTGGTAGGACTTGGAGGGTCATGAGATGCCGCAGCCCACGTCGCCCCTAGAGGGCCGTCGGAAGCGTGGAGTCCGCAGGCGCCTCCCGCGGCCGCCGGGTGGCAGAGTTGGGGCAGGCGCTCCCCACGGACCCCGCGGGGAGGCCCCGCCCCCGGGCCGCAGGGAGGCCCCTCGGTGGGGGGCGGAGTTGTTGCTTCACCACCACCGCCCCCCGCCCCCACCGCCCCCCGCAGTGGAACTGCTGGCCCCTTCTTAAGCCCGCCAAGCTTCCAACTGCCGCTCATTCGCTTCTGACACCGGTCTCACTCTCCGCGATGGCCTCCACGCTGAACTATATCTCCAAATTCAAGTCCTTCGTGATACTGTTCATCACCCCGATACTGCTGCTGCCACTCATCATTCTGATACCCGCCAAGGTCAGTTGGGTCTCCCAGCACCCCGGCGGATTCCGGGCACCGGGTACCCAGCAGTTGGCGCTGAACTCGGGAGCACTGAGCTGGCGTGCACGGATTCCCGGGAGGGCACGGCTCCCCTGGGCTGTGCGAGCTCGCGAGCTGTAGATGCCCGCAAGCAGAGAAGCCTGGAAGTGCGCACAGACCTTGGGCACACGGACGGGGGCTCATTCCTGCGCCACAGAACCCCCTACCTAGTAGGGTGCACACTTAGAATCCGCCAGGAAAGCGCCCTCCGCTTGGACAGGGAGCCTGAGCGCTGTCCTTCCCTGCTCGCCACCCCCTCTTGTCTTTTTTCTTAGTGTGTGAGAACTTCCCAGCTCGAGGTGGCTTCCGAGGTCAGAGACTCCTGTGAAAAGATCCTTACCTAAGCGGATCCTGAGTGTTGTCTTTGACACTCTCTGGCTCTTTTTTGGGCCTCAGTTTCCCCATCCATGAGCCCAGTTTATTTCTAGCTCTGAAATCCAGGCCGCCAACTTTCTGCTACCAGATGAAGGGCAAGTCTGGTTGGGCTGCTTTGCTCGCTGCCCGCTGTGGCTGTAGCAGGAGGCGGGAGACGTTCCCAGAGCTCACGCCTTGGGTGGCAGGACCCATGGTTGTAGGGAAGTCGCTCCAGGGAGGAAAGGAGAGAATGAATGGCCTTGGCCGCAGGGTGGGGGCGGGGCCGGAGCCCCGGCCCAGGCTCCGCGGAGTTGTGTGCAGCCTATTTGGCAGAGACCCGAGCCCTTTGAAGCCTTTTGTGGTTCGCTGGTTGCTCCTTCCTCCTCATTCCCTCTTTCAGCCCTTTCACTCTCAGCCCAGACAGGAAACCTTCAGCTTCTACCCCCTCCCCTGTTCCAGGCAGGTTTGGGAAACAGAGGAGCTCTTCAAGGGGTGCTGGGGGCAGTCCTGGAAAGGGGGAATGCACCGGGAAGATAACCTGCAAGAGAACTGAACTTCCACTCTTCATTGTTCCTTGTGACTTAAGTTGACCCCCTGTGCTCTCTGGCCTTGGTGTTCTCATCTGTATAATGGGGCCGGGTAGTTCAGTTCTTACCCTTTAAGCCTTAGGGTGTCTAAAGGGATTATGCTGGTTGCTGGGGTGGAGGTGGTGGTGGTGGTGCAAGGAGGAGCCCTTGGCTGAGCACAGACCCTGGATAGGCAAGAACAACAGATCTTGTGGCTCTTCAGTGGCCACACCAAGTGCCAACAGCCCTATTTCCTCTTTAGAAAGCAATTCTGGGCTTTATTGTCAGTGGGAGGGAGCCAGGCAGGAGAGCTGTGATTTTAATTCTATTGGTGGGAGAGTGTTGTTCCTGGAATAATTATAGTAGCTTGGTTGAGCTTCCTGCCCCAGGAGAGTGTGACTTAGACTTTACTCCTACCCTGCCACACACACATAGGTGGGCCCTAAGCAGGGACCCAAACCCAAGTGTGTGTGTATGTGTGTGTGTGTGTGCGTGCACACGTGATTAACCTGTCCTGGGAACAAGGATCAGGAGAGGGAAGAGATGACACCAGGGAAAGTTGTTCCAAAGCTGCCTGGACATGCTTTCCCTTTGGGAACACAGACTTCTCGTTCTCTCCCTTTGTGCCTCTGTTTTGGTTGCCACTGAAGAGCTCTTGAGAGCTCTGGTGGCATAGAACCTAAGGCACTTGACTGCCAACCAGAAGGCTGGCAGTTCAAACTGACCAGTCACTCTTTGGAAGGAAGGTTAGGCGATCTACTTCCATAGTGATGCCACCTCCGAAACCCAAAGAAGGGTCACTATGAGTCAGTCTGACTCGATGGCAGTGAGTTTGTTGAGGGAAGAGCTCTCTGTTCCTGTCCTCCATGGCCAGACTGGTGTGCAAGGAAGCCTAGAGGCATGTGGCAAGGGAGTAGAGCCTCTGAGAAGCCAGAGGGGCCCTTGGCCCCTTGGAGAGCATCGTCAGGTTGGGGAGGCAACTCCTGGGGCACGATGCCCTTTGCTGCCCCCAGCCCCTCTCCTCTAGGCCATCTGCTCCTGTTCCTTTCTCCTACCTTGCTTCCTTCCTGGCCTCATCTCGGCTCTCCTTTTTCTGCCTTTTCTCTGGAGATCTCTTTTTAAAATCTGGAGTCTCTTTTCAAAATAGCTTTTTATTAAAATACATGATACATCCATTGTATCATATATTTTATTAATATTGTAAAAAAAAAAAAAATCCTAACAATTCTGTATAAAACTCACAGCCATCGAGTTGGATCCGACCCATAGCGACCCCTCCTTGGGTTTCTGAGGCTATATCACTAGGGAAGTAGATTGCCCAACTTTCCTTCCAAGGAGTGGCTGGTGGGTTTGAACCGCCAGCCTTCTGGTTAGCAGTCAAGTGCCTTAGGCACTATGCCACCAGAGCGCCCCAAAATTCTGTATAGCACACACAAAAAAATACCCTCAAATCTCATAATTGACTAACATTTTCATGGGCATCTTTCTAGAAATCAATCAATTAATCTCTTCTCTCTCTCTCTCTCTCCACAAACACACATACACACAATATTTTCTCTTACCTGAGTTATCCATTAAGCAATATATCACAGACACCCTTACACATTAATAAATACATAAACAATGAACTGTGATATGTGTGCACTTGCTATATATTTATTGAGCCCATTATGTGCAGGGCAGCTGCTACCCAGCAGTTTGGAGGTTCGAATGAGAGGTGCCTTGAAGAAAGGCCTGAGGCTCTGATTCTGAAAAATCAGCACTGAAAACCCAGTAAGAAGCTCAGGTGGACGGTGGTTGAGCACTTGGCTACTAACCAAAAGGTTGGGAGTTTGAACCCACCAGCCACTTTGCAGGAGAAAGATGTGTCAGTCTGCTTCCATAGAGATTACAGCCTTGGAAACCCCATGGGGCAGTTGTACTCAGTCTTATAGGGTCGCTGTGAGTCAAATCGACTAGATGGCACTGGGTTGGTTGGTTTGTTTTTTGAAAATCTGATGGAGTGCAGTTCTGCTATGACACACATGGTGTTGCCATGAGTCAGAGTCAATTTAATAGCAATGCCTAAGGCATTTGACTGCTAACCCGAAGGCTGGCGGTTCAAACCCACCAGACACTCCCTTGAAGGAGGCTGGCAATCTACTTCTGTAGAGATACTGCTTCGGAAACCCAAGGAGGGTTCACTATGAGTTGGAGTCCACTTGAAGGTAATGAATTTTTTTTTTTTTTTTAAAGTTATGTGGTGAGCGAGTTTTGGTGGCATTTGACTGCTAACCAGGAGGTTGGCAGTTCAAACCCACCAGCCATGCCTCAGAAGGAAGACTGGGCAATCTGCTTCCCTAGACCCAAGAGAGATTGCTATGAGTCGCAGTCTACTCAAGGGCAGTGAGTTTGGTTTTGGGTTTTGGTTTAGTTATGTGCTAAAGGAGCTCTGGTGGCACAGTGCCTAAGGCATTTGACTGCTACCCAGAAGGTTGGTGGTTCAAACTACCAGCCACTCCATGGAAGGAAGACTGGGCAATCTACTTCCATAAAAATTTGCTGCCTTGGAAACCCAAAGGAGGTTGATATGAGTCAGAATAGACTCAATAGCAGTGAGTTTGGTTTGATTTTTTTTTTTTTTTTTTTTCAGTTATGTGCTAAGGAGCTCTGGTGGTGTAGTGGTTAAAGCATTTGGCTACTAACCTAAAGGTCACTAGTTGAAACCCACCAGCCGCTCCATAGAAGATGAGGCAGTCTGCCTACATAAAGATTTATAGCCTTGGAAACCTGATGGGAGTTGAGTTGACTCAAAGGCAGTGAGCTTGAGTTATGTGGTAGACACTGTGCTGGGTGCTGAACTAAATCACATTGTCCACTTTTATCGCAGCTTTAATCACTTTTCTCTCCACCTGTCTGCTGCAGGGAAGTACCCTGAACTTACCCTCAAGGAACTGAGGCTTTTCTTGCAGGTAGACTCCACCACATTCTCTGCCTCATAAGATTACCATCAACCCCCAGGCTTTTCAAACTTCCCTCTTCCTGATCTGCTCTCTGCACTAACACTGTGGGAACATTTCTAGACTGAAAAAACAACACTCACTTCCATCAAGTCGATTCTGACTCCTAAGGACCCCCATTGAGTTTCTGAGGCTGTAAATCTTTACGGAAGTAGATTGCCCCATCTTCCTTTCACAGAGCAGCTGGTGGGTTTGAACTGCTGACCTTCCTGTTAGCAGCCAAATGCCTTCTCCACTACGCCACCAGAGCTCCTTATTTCTGGACGAGGGAGGGTCAACTTTACCGTCTGGTATTATTCAGAGGCTGGTCACCCCCCAGGTTTCCTAATAGCAGTGTGGGGGTGAGAGGCACAGAGTTACCTTGTACCTCATTGTCTTTTATTTCTCGCTCATGCTTTTTTTTTTTTTTTTTTGTCTTTTCTAATGGTGGTGTTTGGCAACTCCAGACTCTGCAATGAAAATGGATTACACCTGCTACCATTATAGTCGCCTTAGTGAGTGTGTCTGAAGTCAGATGGAAAATAAATTCAAAAATAAATAAATACCGAGCACTTTGTGTGTTCCCTACATTAAGAGTGTTGTCAGTTGCTGTCGAGTTGACTCTGACTGATGGTGATTTCATGCAAACAGAACGAAACACTGCCTGGTCCGGCACCGTCTTCCTGATGGTTGGTAACCGGGCAACGTTGTGTTGTGATTCATGAGGTCTTCATTAGCTGATCTTCACAAGGAGAGCAAGAAGTCTTTCTTTCTAGCCTGTCTTAGTCTGAAAGCTCCACTGACCATGGGGGACCCTGCTGATGTTTGAAATACTGGTGGTAGAGCTTCCCAGATCACAGCAAGTTACCACAGTAGACAAACTGACAGATGGGTGGCAGGGACTCTTAAAGTCTCAATTTACAGGTGAGAACAGGAAACAAGGGGGAGGGATCAGGATTGGGAGTGATATGTCCCAAGTGGAAGGAGCATTTTAACGAATGACATATTTAGAGCTGCCAGTTCAGGATGATTAAAAGAAGCGGTCTGATTTTTATACACTTTTCTTACTGTTTTTCAATGCTCCACAATGTATCTCCTTAGTGCCTGCCCCTGAAGGGGATCACTCCCACCCCCCTTGGTACACACCTGACACCAAGACCCAGAGAAGTTACTGACCCCTGAAGACCAGACAGTGGCAAGCAGTGAGTGTTCATCAACCTGTCTAGTGTCAGCCAGGGCTTCTCACCCCACCACTGTTCTGCCTTTAGCCCAGTGGCTCTCACTCAGTGGCGGATTTCCCCTCCGAGGCATTTGGTAAATCTGGAAACGTTTTTTTATTGTCATAACTCAAGGAAATGCTACTAGGATCTAAGGGATAGAGGCTAGAGATGCTAATAAACATCCTACAATGTGCAGGACAGTCCCCACAACAAAGAATCACCTGACCCAAAGAGTCAGTAGTGCCGAGGTTGAGAAATACTGCATTGAACAGTCGAGAAGTGTCCTGGGGCACTCATGGGATGCCAAGAAAAGATTTTATTTTCATGACCCATAACGTAACCCACAAAGACTTTTTAACCTCCCTGCAGTGCTTTACACACAATACGTGTTCTTTGGGGTGATGCTGCACAGTGCTAGTGTACGGTATGTTTTCTCAGCAGCGTTGTCACAGGTCTGCTCAGGTGAAGGCTATTTGATTCATTCATCCCTTTGATAAGCATTTGCTGAACATCTTCCGCAGCTAGTGCTGTGCGGGGTGCTGAGGTCAGAGCGAACTTACAAACAGTGTTTTTGTCCTCCAGTTGCTTACTGTTTAGTGGGGGTGACAGTTGAGGAAACAAGCAATTACAGTACAGTGTGCTCAGTCCTGGGGGAGTGTGCAGAAGCAGGGCACAGCCCCACACTGTGCAGGGAGCCAGGGAAGGGGTCCAAGGAGGAGTGTTGAGCTGAACGATGACAACTCATTCCAGGCTGAGGGAGTGGGGTATGTGAGAGAAAAAGGGTGTGAGAGGGAGAGCATTGTGCCTCAGTTACTGCAAGTGCTTTGGGATAGCTGGGCCTTGGGGTGTAACTGGGAAAGGGGCTGGAGGAGGTTGCAGAGCCCAGTGCTATACTGGGGAGCTAAAAAGTCATGCTAAGCACCTAGGTTTTATCCTGCAGACAACGAGAGGCTTTAAAACCAAGGAGTGATGTGGTCAGATTCACAAAAGAGGGAGAAACAGTATGGATTGTTGGCTGTAAGGAGATAGAATTAGGAGACAGCTCAGTGATCCAGGCAGGAGATGATGGGGCCTGAACCAAAGCAGTGGCCAGGAGATGAAGTGGTGGGAGAGAGGCCAGAGATTTAAGGAGATAGAATCTATACATTTTGGTGACTGATTTAATTGGAGAAGACTATAGTGAGAGAGAAAAGGAGCTCTGATGGTATAGTGGTTAAGACATTTGGCTGCTAACAAGAAGGTTGGTGGTCCAAACCCACCAGCTGCTCCACGGAAGAAAGATGGGACAGTCTTCTTCCGTAAAGATCTACAGCCTTGGAAAGCAAATGGGGGTTGGTTGCTATGAGTCACGATCAACGCGGTGGCAGTGAATTTGTTTTTCTGGTGTATAGTGAGGGAGAGGGCAAAGTCTGGGTTGACAATTATAATAAAAATATCAATAAAACATAAAACAACCTAGAGAGGTAGTTATCATTATCCACATTCTAATAGGCCACAAGCCTGAGGCCCCAGAACATTACACTACTCACCCAAAGCCCTACAATAAGGAGGGTTCAGAGCAGCAAATACTTTCATCTGAACCCAGGTCCGTCTCACTCCAATCTCAATTCTTTCCACTCCTGCTTCCTTCCACCAAGACCCCAGTGGCTAAGAAATGTAAATAGACAAATCACACAAAACTAAATGCAAGTAGTAATGCATGAGATTCTTGGAATTAGAGAGATGCTAGGAGCTCTGGTAGCATAGTGCTTAAGACACTTGACTGCTAACCAGAAGGCTGGCAGTTCAAACCCACCAGCCACTCCTCAAAAGGAAGGTTGGGCAATCTACTTCCGTAGTGATACTGCCTCAGAAACTCAAGGAATCGCTATGAGTCGGGTCTGACTCAATGGCACATAACAACAACAACAACAAACACCAAGTGCCACCTTTTAAATTTTAATGATAACAATAAAAAAAAATGGAAAACACTTAATGCTAGCAAGTTCTGGATGAGCTGATCGACATGTTCTGAGAGCAGGGAAAGTTGAAGCGACCCTTTGAGGAAGCAATTTGAGATAAAAAATAAAGACCAAACTTACTGCCATTGAATCAGTTCCAATACCTAGCGATTCCCATTGGGTTTCTGAGGCTGTAAATCTTTACAGAAGTAGATCACCCCATGTTCCTTCCACAGAGCATGGTGAGTTTGAACTGCTGCCCCTCTGGTTAGCAGCCAGATGACTTATCCACTATGCCACCAGAGCTCCTTTGGGATAGGTATCCGGAATTCAAGGATCTACTTCGGGTAGGCTCTGCTAAGGACTTTAAAATAGATGAGCCAGATAAGTAGGGTGATTACAGCATCATTTTAAGGGCAGAAAAGAAGGAATAACATTTAGTCAATTGCAGGAGGACAAAGGAGAAGATTTCATCAAACTTAGGAGATATTTGCAGCTTTAAAAGTGATCATATGTAGCCACATGAAAAATGCTTATGATAGGATGTTGAGGAAAGGAAGTCAGATTGAAAGAGGACATGGTGAAAATCGCACTTAAATAGCAAAATACTTTTGTTTAATTGTTCCTCTTTTTCCTCTTCCTCGTCCTTTTCCTTCTTTCTCTTCCTTTTTCCTCCTCCTCCTCCTCTCCTACCTTTTCCTCCTCTACCACCTCCTTCTCCTGTTATTATTGCATTTTGAGAGGTGAGGAGTCCAAGGCTTGAAAAGGTTAAAGGACTTGTCCAGGATCACGTGGTCGGGAAGCAGGGACAGAAGTTTTCAACAATAGATGCTATACCTCCTCACTGTCCCAAACCTGGAAAGCTGTGCAGCCACAGGATGGAAAGTGAGTGGCCCCGAGAGGGTCTTCTCTGAGGACTCACGCTATTCTGGCCATCCGCCTACCGCCGCTCCATGTGTGCCACTGCCGGGGAAGTGGGGGCAGCACTGTGCTGAGGCCTCAGGTCTGTCTCTTCAGTTTGTCAGGTGTGCCTATGTCATCATCCTCATGGCCATTTACTGGTGCACAGAAGTCATCCCTCTGGCCGTCACTGCCCTCTTGCCTATCTTGCTTTTACCGCTCTTCAAAATTCTGGACTCCAAGCAGGTGAGCAGACCCGGGGGGTCCTGGCAGCTTCCTGGTTCTCCCGTCAGCTTTTCCCACAGCCCCTCTCTCTGTGCTTATTGGGTCCATGCTGGGTTCTTCCTGTGTAGAGGCGTGCCACCTGAGCCTCCAGCCTTTCTCTGGGCTGTCCTTGAAGGTGGCATCTGGCCTGCTTACCTGTCTCTGGGGTCTTGAGTGGCCCTGGGTGCCAATAGGTTGTGTCTCTCCAGGTGAGTATCCAGTACATGAAAGACACCAACATACTGTTCCTGGGCGGCCTTATCATGGCAGTGGCTGTGGAGCACTGGAAACTGCACAGAAGAATCGCCCTGCGCACACTCCTCTGTGTGGGGCCCAAGCCCGCACGGTAATTACACCTCCTCTCTCTCGCCATGTGGCTCTATGTGAACCCCAGGGCTGGGGAGGGGGATGTGACAGAGCAAGCCACCTACAGGCAAGGGATGGCCAAGGGCTTCCTTGGTCTTTGCTGGCATCTGATGGGGCATGTGGCCATCTTAGCTGTTGAGAGACCAGATGCGTGGGAAGCGGCAGCTGGCAGGTGGGTGAATAGCAGTGAGTAAAGGGGCAGGTCAGTGAGGGCCCCTGAGGGTTAGGTTAGGAAGGTTTCCTGGGGAAGGGGCTGCAGGGTTCCATAGAGAACAAGGTTGGTGGTAGAGGGGGGCCTGGAGGCTGGATCAAGCCATGCCTAATGGGGTATCCATGGGGAAGGCAGGCCAGAGGTGACTCAGCTCCTCAGCTTAAGGAGAAACAGAAAGGTCATCTTCCAAAGCTAAGATATCCATTTCCTCTGAAAAGAAGCTTCTTACCTCATCTTCTCCCTCATCACTCATAGCTTTTTATTTGCTTCCTTGCCTCACCAATCAGCACACGGTCCATTTCCAACCAACCAATGGAGGCACTGTAATCATCACAGCCAGGTTATATTGCATGTCTATAATGCCCCAGGCATGATCCTGGGAGCTTATACTTATTACCTCATTCCATTCTCAGCACAACTCTGGGAGCTGGGCATTATTCCCAACACTACCACCTACATTTAACAGATGATGGATCTGAGGCAGAAAGAGGTTAAATGGTCACATGGGGATTAGAGTCAGTCTGTCTGATGAGCCGATGCCCCCAGATGTTCCCTCTCTGATCGGAAACTCAGGGTGAATCTTTCTTTTGAAGCAGTGTGTTTCCTGAATGATGGTGCATCCCCAGACCAGCCCTTGGTAGGCAGCTGTTTACTTGTTACCTGACAAAGGCTGCACATGAGGGGCATTGGCCAGGAGTTGAACTTGCCTCTCACACAGAAAGAGAGAACTCAGCCACTAAACCAGCACTCCCCTCTAGCTGTTCATTAGTTCACAGTCGATGTCTCTGAGAAAGACCTAGTGATCTGCAGTCGAGAAAACCCTGTGGAGCAGTTCTCTTCTGTCACATGAGGTTGTCAGGAGTCAGAGTTGACTAAGTGGCACCTAACAATGACAACTGTTCTGGTTCCCTAGTGCCGCTCTGACAAGAAATATACCACAAGTGGGATGACCTTAACAAACAGGAGTTTATTCTTACAGTACGGAGGCTTTAAGTCCAAGTTCAAAGTGCCAAGCTCTAGGGGCTGGGTGAAAGCCCCTCAACCTTGGGGTCCAGCTCTGTCTCCTGCTCCCGGCCCACTGGAGCTAGAGGCATTTCTTCACTCAGACAACTGCTGGCTGCTGAAGCTGAGAAGCCCCAAGGTTGACAAGTGAAAAGGCAGTCCTGATGTTACCAAACCACACGGCAAGCCATTAACTTAAGTCCCTTGTAAGTCCCAAGGTTGGCACAACATAGCAGGCTGCTGAGCAATGACACAGCTACATGCAGGGTCCAAGCATGCCATAGGCTAGAGACCATTCCCAAGGCTTCTCCTCATATACAGGAAGCAGACCACATCCCAAAGGCTACTTGTGGTAGACCCCACCATGGAGGTGATTGCCAGTCTCATCATGGGAAATAACTACCACCAGCTGCCCAGCCACTCAACCAGGCCCAGCCAAGTTGACACACAAACATAACTACCACAACAACAAACCTCTGAGAGAGATATCTTCATGTCAGGGACTGTGCAGGCCCTTTACAGACACAGACCCTGAGCCTACCCTCCAAGTTGACCAATGCTCAGGGGTCCATTGGTGCCTTAGACTTCCTTGAGAAGAGGGCTTTGTGGTTCTTTGGTCTCCCTCCATGGGCAAATCAAAAGCCACTGCGTTTTCCAGAAATGTGAGAGTTCAGGGTCCTCAGTTCTCAAGATCCTTTTCAGTGGCCTGATTTCCTCCACCAGTGGGTGGGAGGCCTCTATACTGGGCCTCCTTCTGGAATGTGCTTGAGAGCATTGGCTCTCAACCCAAGAACTTTGCACAGCCTTCTCTGCTCCAGTCTGCCTCCTGGCTCCTCCTCTGAGTTTGACGTCTCACTGTCCATGGTCCTGCCTGTCCTAGGGGTATCCTTTATGCTGAGGCCCCCTTGGTGCCTTGAAGTGTTATGTACAAGCCATGATCCTTCTATGACAACTGTTATTCATGCAAACTCTCCCCGTCTCTCATTCATCCTCCTTCTTGTCTGAGTCCCAGTCTCTGCTCTTATGAGTCCATGAAGCCAGGTTGTGTTGACATGAGCTTGAGTCATGGGGCAGTGCAGACCCAAATCACTTCTTCAGGCTCCTACTCCCAGGCAGATTAGTGGCCTTTGGAAGGAGCCTGACAGCAGAGGGGCACAGAGACAGAGTTCCATTCAGCCAATCTTCCCCACACGCCTTCTGTTCCTGGCCTTGTGCCAGGGTGTGGGGCACCATAAATCAGACCCTGACCCTGCGCTTGAAGAGCTCATAATCAGAGTGCAAGTGCGGAAACAGCTCCTCATAATCCAACACAGTGATTAGAGTAGGATGTAAGACTGAGAAGGGTGTGCTCAGCCCCACCTGGCATGCACTGGGGGGAAGGCTGCAGAGAAGGACCTTGTCTGAGCAGTTTTGAAGAACCATGGGGACTTTTCTAGGCAGGTGGCAGAAGTGGAAGCAACAGTGGAAGATAGGGTGTTGTGAGCAAAGGGAACCTATTTTCTGAATACTGCCTATTTGATCAAGAGCTCTAGGTAGCATAGTGCCTAAGGCACTTGACTGCTAACCAGAAGGTTGGTGGTTCAAACCCACCAACCACTCCTCAGAAGGAAGGTTGGGCAATCTATTTCCATAGTGATACTGCCTCGGAAACCCAAGGAGGGGTCGCTATGAGTCGGGTCCTACTCAATGGCACATAACAACAATAACAACAAGCCTGTTTGATATGGGTCTTCGAAGTGTAGAGGGGTGTGGAGGGAATTGGTGGTGGTCAGCCAGAAGGGAAGCCACACTTCCCTGAGTTCTCCCCCCAGATCACCCTACTCCTGAAGGCTGACTCAGCATAGCCCTTCTCAACTTATGAGATGACAGTCAGAGTCTGGATGGGTGTGTATCACCCAGATAGAGGTGTGGAGCCAGGGCTACCTGCATGTAAGGCTGCTAGACCACACCCCTTCTCTGTGCTTCCCCCGAGCCCTGGCCATACTAGGGCAGACCTCTACACTGAGCTGTACCTTCTAGATACCTGTACTTCCCTTGTTAGATGGGGAGCTCCTTAGAACCACCACTGGGCCTGGGACCTCCTACTGACCCCAGTAGCCAGTGGAGGAGATATCAGTAATGTTTGTGGGAGAGAGGAGGGAGACAGGAAGGAAAGAAGAAAAAGAGGTAGGGAGGGAGGGAAAGGAGCCCCTAAAATTATAATCACCTATTAGAATACCCATCGTTGAATGGAAGTGGCCCGGCACCCTGGTCTGCATGGCCCCTTGCATCCCTGCAGGGTAGACCTGGCCCCTACCTGCTCCTCAGGGGTACGAGTGGCAGTGGTGGGGCAGACTCTTGGGCATTCCTCCCTGCCCCTTTTCTGCAGGCTGATGCTGGGCTTTATGAGCGTCACAGCCTTCCTATCCATGTGGATCAGCAATACGGCCGCCACGGCCATGATGGTACCCATTGTGGAGGCCATACTGCAGCAGATGGAGGTCACAAGGACAGCCACTGAGCTGGAGCTGGTGGACAAGGGCAAGGACAGCGAGTTGGCAGGTGAGCCCCTGACTAGGGGCTGTGGATATCCTCAGTGGCAGCCTATCCGATGTTACCAAAAGCCTTGGTCACATCCTACCGCCCTCCCCCAGCTTCCCAGAGCCCTCCTTTCAATAGTTATGGACAACAATATTGAGAAAATAACATTTTTGTAAGTTTTAGGAATGTTATTATTGCATACAAAGTTAGATCCTAGTCATATGTCCTTTAGTAGAGCTTATAACAAGGTCCCACTCTCAGTTCCTGCCAAGCACAGAAATCAACAAGTCAGCCCCACTTGATTATTCATCATCATCAAACATCTTTGAGTCCCTACTGGGTGCCTCTCACTTCTTGCTACTCCAACTCTTCCTCAGGTAGAAGAAGGTCTTCCTCTGACCCTGAAAAGGTCAACTCCCTCCACTCTCTGCTCCCACAGGTATTGGGGCTGGATATCCAATGTTTGCTTCCATGCTAGGCACTGAGCTCCAGGAAGGCAAGGAAAGTGTCTTCCTTGTCCTCATCCTTGCTCACTATCCCACCCCCAGGGACACACCCTGACTGGCACAGGGGAACCTAGGGCTCAGGGCTGATGGCCTGCTAGCCAGACCCTGAGTGAGACCTTGAGGACACACCCAGCACACTACGGTGCAGACTCTGATGGAGCCCCAGAGCAGCAGGACAGACAAGACACTCACACTTCATCCTGAGCTGGGGGAAACTCTGTGAATGCATATGCAGGACATTGAGGGAGCTCTGAAAAGAACGAGATCTTACTAAGAGGAAAGGACATCTGAGGTGGGCTTGGACACCCCAAGAGAGATGGAGATGATAAGAAGGGCCCCCCTAGATGGAGGGAGCAGCTTGAGCAATAGCAAGGAGGCACGAAATAAGGGACACAGGTCTTGATTAGCTGAACTTGGATGGAGTATTAAGGATCCTTAAGGAGTTTTGGTGCCATAGTGCCCTAAGGCATTTGACTGCTATTTGAAGGTGGATGGTTCAAGCCCACCAGCCACTCTGCAGAAGGAAGACTGGGCAATCTACTTCTGTAAAGATTTATCGCCTCAGAAACCCAGTGGGGGTTGCTATGAATATGAATCGACTTGATGGCAGTGGATTTGTTTTTGTTTTTTGTTTTTTTTTTCTGGAAGCGAAGCTATGGGATGTGACTTTGGTAAGGCAGATGAGGCCAGACTGTCAGTTTGGGCTGGAGGCCAGCCAAAGAAAGCAAGTGAAGGGATCTAGACAGGCTGGACAGGATACTACAAACTGAAGGCTAGCAGTAGAACTAGGAGGTGGGGTGGGTGAGCTACCTCTAAGACTGGCTCAGGCCTGCATGCCTCATCTAACAACCCTTGTGCCCACCACAGGGAACCAAGTGATTCTTGAAGATCCGGCCACGAAGCAGAGGGAGGACAAGGAGAGAAAAAACATGTGCAAGGCCATGACAATATGCGTGTGCTACGCAGCCAGCATCGGCGGCACTGCCACCCTGACCGGAACGGGACCCAATGTGGTGCTCCAGGGCCAGATGCATGAGTGAGTCACTGGCCATACCTTCTAAAGTGGGCCCTAGGGCTAGAGAACCTATCCCTCTCCCCATCCCCCACAGCTGGACCTTGGGGAGCATAGCAACAGTGGGAAGATGTGTTCCCATCCAGCCTCCAGCCCCAGTACCCTTGCACCCACTCAGAAATCCTCAGAGGGGGTAGGAAGTGATGACAGTGCAAAGACCTAGTGGAATTAACATCCAAGGGTGGGTTAAATTAAGATCAAGCTTGCTTTCTGCTATGGGTGAATCTTATCTTTCTTCCCTGGGCTCAGGCTTCTCAATCAGAGAGGGAATGTGGATTGAATTCTGAGTTAAAGTCATGGAGATGACAACATACTCCCAGATGACGGGTCCTTGGTTCAAACTTGCAGAAAATTATTGTTATTAGTTGCCATTGAGTGGGCTCCAACTCATGACTTTATGCATAACAGAACAAAGTTTTGCCCAGTCCTGCATCTTCATGGCCATTTTGAAGTTCATTGCTGTGGCCATCGTGTAGTGCCTTCCCACACAGGGGACTCATCTTCCAGCACTGTGTTGGACAATATTCTGTTGTGATCCGTAAGGTTCACACTGGCTAATTTTCCGAAGGAGATCCCAAGGCCTTTCTTCCTCATCTGTTTTAATTTTCAAACTCCTTTGAAACCTGTTCACCATGGGTGACCCTCCTGGTATATGAAATATCAGAACTTTAGCTTTTAGCATCACAGCAACACACAAGCCACTACAGTAGGGCAAACTTTGGTTGTTAGTGGTGATGGTCCTATGATATTGAGGATCTATAAATGAGATCAAGGACTGGGAGTTAGGTCACTCATTGCCTCACCATCGCATTCACTATAGCCTCACTACATGACCTTGGGATGGTGTGACCTCAAGGGAAATTAGGCCTTGTGAGGCCCCAGGTAGACCACAGAGATGGTTTGGAACTTTGCAGCCTTGTGTTGAGTAGAGTTGGATCATAAAAGTGAGAGAAGTCAAGACTCTAACCATGTGGAACCCATGGTCTCCTGAAAGTGACAGATGCTATGAAAGTTCCAGTCAGGTATATAAATTCATTAATTGGATGTGTACAAATATGGGAATTATCAAATAATATCATTGATATCAAACACAAGTAAAATCTTGCTGAAGATAATGCAAAAACAGTTGCAGCAATACACTGACAGGGAACTACCAGAAACATGAGCCGGATTCAGAAGAGGACGTGGAATGAGGGATATCATTGCTGATGTCAGATGGATCTTGGTTGAAAGCGAAAGACAGAAAGATATTTTCATGTGTTTAATTGACTATGCAACAGAATTCAACTGTGCAGATCATAACAAATTATGGATGACATTATAAAGAATGGGAATTCCAGAACACTTAATTATGCTCATGAGGAATCTGTACGAAGACCAAGAGGCTGTTGTTCGAACAGAACAGGGGGATGCTGCATGGTTTAAAATAAAGAAAGGTGTGCGTAAGGTGTGCGTAAGGTGTGTGTAAGGATATGGTATCCTTTCACCATATTTGCTCAATCTGTACGCTGGGCAAATATTCAGAGAAGCTACACTATATGAAGAAAGCAGCATCAAGATTGGAGGAAGACTCATTAACAAGCTGTGATATGCAGATGACGACAACCTTGCTTGCTGAAAGTGATGAGGACTTGAAGCACTTAGTGATGAAGATTGAAGACTACAGTCTTCAGTATGGATTACACATCAATATAAAGAAAACAAAAATCCTCAGAACTGGACCAATAAGCAGCATCAAAATAAATGGAGAAAAGACTGAAGTTGTCAAAGATTTCACAATCAATAGCCATGGAAGCAGCAGTCAAGAAATCAGATGTCTTATTGCACTGGGAAACTCTGCTGCAAAAGACCTTTTTAAAGTGTTGAAGAGCAAAGATGTCACTTTGAAGACTAAAGTGTGCCTAACCCAAGCCATGGTATTTTCAATCACTTCATATAGATGTGAAAGCTAGACAATAAACAAGGAAGACGGAAGAAGAGTTTGATGCCTTTGTATTATGGTGTTGGCAAGGAATACTGAAAATACCATGGACTTCCAGAAGAACGAACAAATCTGTCCTGGAAAAGTGCAGCCAGAATGCTCCCCGGAAGAGAGAATGGCCAGGCTTCATCTTACCAACTTTGGTCATGTTGTCAGAAGAGGCCATTCCCTGGAGAAGGATGTCATGCTTGGTAAAGTGAAGGGTTAACAAAAAAGGGGAAGACCCTCACTGAGATGGAGTGACACAGTGGCTGCAACAATGGGCTCAGGTATGGCAAGGACTGCGAGGCTGGTGCATGACTGGGCAGTGTTTCATTCTGTTACGTATAGGGTCACTATGAGTCGGAGTTGACTCGATGGCACATAACAATAACAAATTGCAATGGGCACAGAGGTAACAAAAATCAGATGATGTGAAGACGAGAGCCCTGGACAGGGCTAGAAAGGGCAGCTGGCTCAGGAGCTGGGAGGAGGAAGGGACAGGCCTGGAACCTGATTGGGTGGAAACTTGAGAGTCCAGAGACTGAGATCAGCGCTCCACAGCTCAGCGTCTGAACCGGTGTTTCTCCCTGCAGGTTGTTTCCTGACAGTAGAGACGTCGTGAACTTTGCTTCTTGGTTTGCATTTGCCTTCCCCAATATGCTGATAATGCTGCTGCTTTCCTGGTTCTGGCTCCATTGTTTTTTTATGGGATTCAAGTAAGTATCAGCTGCTTACAGAAGAGTCCGATCAGGCCCACCCCTGCTGAAAAGCCCTCAGACTCAGCAGGCAAGTCGTTGAAGTTCATGTCTGTCCCTGACCTAGATCTCCAGCCCCGCCTCCCACTCATCAGCCCTCCAGTTCCAGCCACCACAGGCTGTTCGCCACGCCTTTACACGTGCTGTTCCCTCTTCCTGGAATGCCATTCTTACCTTCTCTTCTACCTCCTTAGCCTTCAAGGCCAGTTCAAATGCCGTTTGCTTAGGGACACCTTCTCTGGCTTTTTTCCCACCTCTTTTCCGTCTCAAAAGAATTAGCCCTTTGGGCTGCCCCTGGGCATATCATAGTCCTATCACTGGTACCCATACTCATGTTGCAGCACCATCCATCTCCTGACCATGACCTCCTCAAAGAGAAGGCCTGTGGTCAGTCCTCTCTGACCCCTGCACCCAGCACAGCTCCCGGCACAGGAAGAGCAGGGGTTCATCCCCAGTGCCAAACCTGCATTGCTGGACAAACATCCACTTGGCTGCATGTGTCCACTAGTTCAGGTCACAGCAAACCTCTCTGTCATGTCTCAATCAATCCCAACCCTGACCTTTACCGAATACCTACCGTGCTCCTAGCATGTGCCAGGTTCTAGGAAGTAACCCTTCCTATTCTCAGCATACTGGCAAGTTCACCAGGGTCACCCTTGATGGCAGCCACACTTTGGACAGAAACCATGAAGTATGGCCCACTGACACCTACAAAAAGTTGTTATTTTTAAAACCAGGAGTTGTATCTATGGTGTAAATGTGGTCTTCTGGTGTGGGATAGAAAGTGCTTATCCATGAGCCGAATGCTCAAGAAGTCACACCAAGAAAAACACAGGGGAGTGTGCTACCAGAGGGGAGAGACCTCAGAGCTGGGAGGGAAAGGTGCTTGTGAAAATCTCTGATTTAATGAGGAAAACAAAACATTCTCCTAGGTTTTCTCCTGAAAGACGAGCTATTTTGAAAGTCTACTATTAAAAAATTATTATAAAGAATCAAGATAGCCATTATCATTATCATCACAGTAGGCATGCTTCGTACACCTCTCCACCCTGACCTGTGCAAGGGCCCACGTGGAAGGGAAGCTTCATGATTCAGACAGCAGCTGTCTTTGCCCTGCTTCTCGAACCTGCTCCTTGACTGTCCTGCTCACATTCTTGCATCTATCCCAAGCCCTCTCAGGAGACCTGGCCCAAACCTGTTGCAGCCTGCAGATGGGTGTCTGTGTCTCCTCATGGGACAATAGTAATAATAATGACTGACATTTATTGAGTGTGTCTATGTGCCAGATTCTCTATTAGGCACTTTACATATATGAACCTAATTGATCTTCCCAACAACCTGTGACATAGGTACTGTTATTATGCCCAACTGGGTTAAGTGAGTTAACCTGGAAATAGTGGAACTGAGATTGGAACCCAGATGGTCTGGTTCCAGCATTTTTATCTTTAAGCCACTACATTACATCTCCTCTTTCTTTTTCTTTTTTAAATTTATTGTTATTTGGGTGAAAGCTTACAGAGAAAACTCATCTTCCAAACAGCAGTTCACATACACTTTGTTTCATGACATTGACTGTAATCTACCACAATGCAACAGCTCCCCTCCCACTTCCTCCCCACAGACACCTCTTCCCTGTGTTCTTACCTCCCACACATTCCTGCCCCCTTAGCTGTCTCCCTAGGTATACACAGCCCTTCTATTCTCCCATGATTGATCTCTCCAAGGAGTGTATCTACCTAATATAAATGTTCAACTCATATGCCTGTCTTCTGTTTAGCTGGAAGCCACAGTAGTAGGTTCAATTCCAGACCTGAAGGGCAGCTAGGGGCCATAGTCTCAGGGGTTCCACCCGGCTCTATCAGACCAGTAAACCTGGTCCCCGCCCCCTCTTTTTTTATTATGATTTTGAGTTTTGTTACACATTGTTCTCTCACTCTATCCAGAATCTCCTACGTAGATCCCCCTCTCAGTGGTTGACAGTGATAGCTGGGTACCATCTAGTTCTTCTGGTCTCATAGTCATATAGGCTGAGGATCACATGGTATACCAGTCACTTTGACTAATTGTTTCCATTCATCTTTGGTTTTCTTCATTCTTCTTTGCTCTGGATGAGGAGAGACCCATCGTTCCATCTAGATGGCTGCTTGCTAGCTTATAAGATCCCGGTCGCTACTCACCAAAGTAGAATGTGCAACAATGTTTTTGTGTAGTATGTTATGCCAATTGAGCTTGATGTCCCCTGTGACTATGGTCCCAAGCCCACAGGTCCAACTACTCACTCCCTCTGGGTAGCTGGCTGTGGCCAAGAAGTGACTACAAACTTGTCCCTTGTCAGGCTACTTTATGCCTGTAATTCTTACAGAACATAGCAATACATGGTCATGGGCACACTCTCCCTGGATGGACATAGCTAATCATTCAGCTTGTCCACCCATCTGTGTACCCATAGATCAATGTTTACCATCACTGACAGTGCAGTACTGTATGTGCAAAGGGTTCATCTTTGTTGTCTATACCTCCCATGCACCTCTCTATGTCTTCCTCTTCCTCAATGCCACTGTGTTGATCACTCACATTGTTACATCTCCTCTTGAGGGTAACAAGGGTTGCTGCCCTTGATGCCTTCAGGTGTGGGTGCTCCAGGCTCCCTGCCAGTCAAGAAGAGCTGGTGGGGGGACACGCCAGGCTGGGCAATGGGCAGCTTCAAGCCCTTGACACACTAGTGTGGCCTCTCTGTCAGCCTGGAAGAATCCCTGGAGCCCTGAAGTTAAGTGAATTTCATCAAAGAGAGAAACAGAGGGGCTGGCCTGGCTCCAAGCCCACAGGGGCATCATTAGCTTCCTGTCTGGCCTGATGTAAACACCAGGCCCCAGAGCACTCACAGCCAAGAGCCTGAAGCTGCTGTTCACCCAACCTGGCATCCCCCCATCAACTCTTCTTGGCTGACAGAGAGCTTGGAGAGCATCTGCCAAGTTGAGACTTCCAGAGCTGCTGCCTGATCCCACGCCTTCCTGACCTGCCACTCTAGCTAGGGAACCTCATCACCCAGATGCAGAGCATGACAGGACAGGAATGGGAGTGGGGTGACTCCCCTGCACCCTTATTTAGATCCCAAAATGGGGAGACAGAATAGCTATTCATGTTCAGCCTGGACAACAGGAACAGCAGGGGATGCCCTTGGGTCCAGGCCACATCCTGTCACACACCAGGAACTAGTGACCCACCTTTTATGGACTCCTGGACCACCCTACCTGAAGCAAGCGAGCACCTATCTCAGATGTAGGAAGCATCTCTACTGTCTGATGTCTTTCCTTCCTTGAGTCCCTCACCTGGATGGTCATGGAGAATAATGTCAGGGTCACTGCCTCTAGCCTAATCCAGAAAATCTGTATCTTCCTGAGTTTATGGCCAGCCTCCAAGGCAACATCTAGCCCAAGGGGGCCATAGACTGCTCCCCAGGACCACCAAGGACTGACTACATGGGATATTAAACCAATATGACCAGTAGTTTTAAAGTTGACTTTGACTCATGGTGACCCCATGTGTGTCAGAGTAGAACTGTACTCCCTAGGGTTTTTCAACAGCTGACTTTTTGGAAGTCCGTCACAGGCTTTTCTTCCAAAGCACCTTGAGGTGGATGAGAACCTCCAACTTTACAATGAGCAACCAAGCACATCACCCATTTGCATTACCCAGAGATTCCACATGGGCTAGTAGGACTGGCTTATGCCCCACTTCCTAACCAGACTATCCTCCTGAAGTAGGAGGGTTCTTCTGAACCCCTGATGTGGTGGAGGCATGCAGGGGCCTCAAGGATCCCTCCACCTCTCTTTCACTCTGCAGTATTTTCTGTCCAAGTTCACCAGCATCATAGTGAAGGCCATTCTGCAGCAAAAGGACATTTTGGTCCCCTCCACCACCACCTACCCACCAGAGCTCCCACAGGGAAACTGGATCCATGTGTCTGCATCTCCTGCCAGTGCTCCCCAGAAGGAATTAACCTGGCATGAGCATGAAACTACTTTGTGTAAGAGGGCCCTGTGAAAGAAGGCTTGGAGGCCCCACCAGGAGGGGACCAGCATCAGTCAACTGCATGTACAATGCAGCCCCACAGTCAGGAGCCTCTATGAGCACTGGGGACATGTAACCAACACCTGGCATGGCCTTGGGTTTCAAGGTGACTCACTCTTAATCCTGGAAGTTGGAAGTCCCTGGCCTCATCCCAGAGTTTCTAGAATGACAAGAGCTAGCAGATGGGTGCCTGTTAGAGCACTGACCATGGAGCCAGGGAGGTGGAGGACAGAGAGACCCTAAACACCAACAGAGCCATCTCCACCTACAGCCTGTGCAGTAGGTTAGGCAGATGAGACGGAGGCAGGAAGAGCAAAGAAGGGGCTTCCCCAGGCCCCATGGCAGCCGAGAGGCAGCCCTGCAGTCCTTCTGCCGTCTTCTGTTGTGCACTGTGCAGGTATCTGCTTACCAGCTCCTGAGACATCCATCTGCTCTGCCATCTGACACTTGCCACTCTCTCATCCTTTTCTTTCTTTGGCCATTGTCACCATTTTAAGTGTACAATTCAGTGACATGAATTACATTCATCATGTTGTGCAACCATCATCACTATCCATTTCCACAGGTTTTTCATCAGCCCAAGCTTGGAAACTCAGTGTCCATTAAGTGATAACTTCCCTTCCCCTTCCTCCCACCTCTTGTGACCACTAATAAACTTTGGTCTCTATGTATTTGCCCATTCCAGATATCGCCTATAAATGGACTCATATAATATTTGTTTTGTTGTGATTGATTTATTTCACGTAGCAGAATGTCTTCAAGGTTCATTCATGTGGTAGCACATCATTTCTCTTTATGGCTGAATAATATTCCATTGTATGCATACCTTACACTTTGCTTATCAGCTCATCTGTTGATGCACTGTTCTCTCATTTTTTTTTTTTTTTTTTAATTCTCTAGTTTTAAAAAATTCTGGACTTGCGGAATAGAGAGAGATGATAATGAGAAGATGGCCTATGAGATGCTGCAGGAGGAATACAAGAAGCTGGGGCCCTTCTCCTTTGCTGAGACCAATGTCCTGCTGTGCTTCCTGCTGCTGGTGGTCCTGTGGTTCTTACGCGACCCTGGCTTCATACCCGGCTGGCTGTCCATTGCCTGGGTGGAGGACAAGACCAAGTAAGCCATTCATTCTGCAGAATCCTCTGGCTTAGTGCAGTGGTGTCTAAATGCTGCTGTCCTTGGCCACAGGTCACAGAGAAATGTCCACAGCACTCATGCTTGGTTGGAGTATGTCCTTTGTTTGGGAGTTGGGCTTCAGAGAGCACACTGTTGGTTACATGAGTCACTTCTTTCTCACCAGTCTTCATGAGAGGACCACAGAGGCATTTCCTCTTCCCCCAATAGGCTGAGCAGAAAATACTTGGCTAGGCGGGATGGCCAGGTTGTGACAGAGAGAGATTTGTTAGGCTAGGAATGGGGCTCCCAGAGCTTTGGTTTCTAAATCTCAGCCTCAGCTCTGCCATCTTTCCTTTCTTGTCTTTCCTGAGACTCACTCAAGTCCCTCACAGGACTCACATCTAGGATCCAGAAGTTTCTATAGACAGAGACTTAGCAAAAGGTAGTACCTGTAGTCTCTATCCCAGCCAAGGTGTTGTCAGGATGGAAGAAACGTATCATTCTAGTAAAGGCAGAAGATGTAGGTGGGGAGATGGCTGCCTGTGACTGGTTACTCCATTTGGAAGGTCTAGTTAGGTCACCACCAAAGTCCTTGTGGTCATGCTGGTTTACATGCATGTGTAAATCTTCACAAATGCAACCTTTTCTGACACCAACCACAAGAATCATAATCAACAAATCAAAATCCCCACTTTCACTTCTCTGTTCAATTCTGACACCACTCTGACCAAAACCACCCTGCTAAATCAGTGCTCACAAGTTGAAGGACACAATCCTCCAGACTGCCAAGTTTACCCAGGACTTCAGATGCCAGCTGCAAGCTTGGGAGTTCCCATGATACACTTACTTCTGACTTCTAGCTACAATATTGGGATTTTCCCATTATCCTTTCAGGTGCCAGCTGCAAGCTCAGGAGCCCTCTGGGCTCCCTCACTTCTGACCTGCTAGTTTGGGAGTTCCCTATGCCACCTCAGAAAACCAGCCACATGTTCAGGGATTCCAAGCCCCCCTCACTTTTGATATGCTGGCTCCCACTACTCCATAGGGTTTGATAATTTGCTGGGACGATTCACAGAACTCACAGAAAGTGCTATATTTATGATTGTTGTTGTTATATGCCCTCGAGTCAGACCCGACTGATAGCGACCCCTCCTTGGGTTTCTGAGGCAGTATCACTACAGAAGTAGATTGCCCCATCTTCCTTCCGAGGAGTGGCTGGTGGGTTTGAACTGCCAGCCTTCTGGTTAGCAGTCAAGTGCCTTAGGCACTATGCTACCAGAGCTCCTATATTTATGATCAGAATTCTGTTATAAAGGATACGAACTGGATTAGCATAAAGAAGAGAGGCATAAGGTGAGATCTGGGAGGGTTCTCAGAACAGAGCTTCTGTGTTGTTCCTGAGAGCAGGTATTTTTCACTAACCAGGAAGCTCATGGAAAGTCAACATCCAGAAGCTTTACTGGGGGTAACTGCAAACTCTAGCTCCTTTCCCCAAGCTTGGTTGATATGAGGTGATCACAGGTATCATGTGGTGATACCTGTCTGGCCTCCAGCCCCCACCCCACAGTGGCCTCAGCACCTCACTGGCATATTTATAGATATGGAGTCCTTATCAATGAACACAGTTAAATTTTCAAGATCATCGTTGAGGAACTGAGGGCAAATACCAAATTCTTTGGGTAAGGTTAAATTCTAAACTCCACACTGGTAAACCCAGAATCCTAGAGAATCTTGTCAAAAAGAGGTCACAAAATTCACCCATGAAGCATTGCAGGCTGAGAAAGGGAAGTCAGAGGCTCAAGTCCACACAGAGTTATTGGTAGAGCCAGGCCGAGAATGTGTGTCTCTCAGTTTCCAACCAGAACTCTACCACCTCACTCCTGAGCTGGCTTTTTGGACTCTGCTTTTCATACCCAGTTGAGCCTGTTTCTTTTGTTTGTTTAGTTGTACTTTTTCTATTATTGAGGTTAAATTCCCATGAGAGTAACCATTTTAAAGCAAACAATGTAATGAAATTTAATACATTCACAATGTTGTGTAACCACCACTTCTAGTTTCAAAACATTTTGTCACCCCAGAAAAAGACCTTCATATCTGTAAAGTAGTCACTCCTCATCCTTCCCTCAGTCCCTGGCAACCACAGTTTGTGTTCTGTCTCTATGCATTTGCCTGTTCTGGACATCTCACGTAAGTGGAATCGAACAACATGTAACCTTCTGTGTCAGGCGCCTCACACTTAACATACTGCTTTCCAGGTTTATTCATGATCTAGCATGTATCAGTACTTCATTCTTTTACTTGGCTGAATAATATTCCATTGTAGGTATATTCTACATTTTGTTTATCCGTTTATCTGTTAATGAACATTTGAACTGTTCTCACCTTTTGGCTATTGTGAATAATGCTGCAATGAGCATAGGTGTACATGTATCTGAGTCCATGTTTTCAATTCTTTTGGGTATATATTTTGGAGTGAAATTACTGGGTCATATGTTTTGTGTTTAACATTTTGAGGAATTGTGAAACTCTTTTCCACAGTGGCTGCATCATTTTACATTCCCACCAGCAATGGACAGGGGTTCCAATTTCTCCACATCCTCACCAAAATGTATTTTCTGTGTTTTTTTTATTCTGTATCTTCATATATGAGCATTTAGACACAGAACTGTTGGAGCTAGGGCAGATTTGTTGAACGCTTGTCTCTTGGGCCGAGCCGGACTGAAATCTTGTATGTCCTTCCCACCTAGGTACATCTCTGATGCCACCGTGGCCATCTTTGTAGTCATCTTACTATTCATTGTGCCTTCGCAGAAGCCCACGTTCAACTTCTGCAACCAGCCTGAGGAAGGTAACACCTCTGTCTTTACTGTCCAGTCATTGGGGTTGGGCCTTAGCAACAAAAGATCTTCGTAGGATCTCCCAGGGCACAGAAGGCAGAAAATTCCATCCTATTGAAGAGGACTTGCCAGATTCCAAAAGCCTGGGGAGAGGGTGTTCTTTCAAGCCTTCCCTGGGTATTGTTTAAGGCAAATCTCTTCTTTTGCTTTTTAAAATTTGAGAAAATTTGAAATTTGACACTAATGCTGTC